AGCTCAACAGTTCAACATTGATTAGTAGCAGAAACATCAACATTTCATCATCATAAATTAAATTTCAAATTAAAATCGCAGTGGCAGGGCTTGACGCGGTTGGGTTAATAATCGTAAAATATCGATTACAGTGCTTAGGGATTCACACGGGACGCTGTTATGGAAGGCTGCTTTTAACGGACATAAAAGCTGCACAACTTTAATGTTCCCTCTGGCATTTGAGTGATTGTAATGCATTTTAGCATGTGATTATGGCTGTATTTTGTGCGGAAAACTCGAAATATAGCAGACAGGAGCAAACCACTTCGACTCGTGTATTTCCCGGAGCGAACAATTTATTAAAATTTATGTTGAGGTTAAGAGGTTAATTTGTGTTAATTTACATTAAGTGGATTGATATTTCGAATTCAAAATTTTTTATATGTCCCTCAAATATTTAATATTTTAATCATTGACTACGACTTCAACTATAAACAATGTACTTGACTAATACAAAATTAATAAATATGTATGCTTACTTATACGAAAGATGAACAATTTCTTATAGTTTGATTGTGTAGGACAAAATTTAATTTAATTCTTCTATAAAATTCTACTAAAGCTCTTAAGATTTTATAAGCGGAGTACAGTACGCAGTACTAAAAGTCTACTAAGACTTTTAAAATTTAATAAGCAAGGCAGGATACAGAGTAAACGCCGCAATGTCTGCCGCATCTGAAAGTGAAATTTTCAGCCTTTATCCTTTGATTTTCGTTTATTACGCCTGAATGGAATTTAATAAAAACAAAGCCGAACTGTTAAAGGACAAGGCCAAGAATGACAAGCACACATATTAAACTCACTAAATATATGGTATATGAATAGTAACTACAAGATACAAACCAAGCCTACACAACATTTTTATCTTTAAGGAATACCAACTAAATTGAATCAAATGTTTTTCTATCAACCAACCAACATCAAACAGGAAAGTTTTTTTATGATTTTCATTCTTTCTCTGGAAAATATGCTACTTTTGCCTCCGACAAAAATGGAGACAATTTAGTTGAAATAACAGAAGATGAAGATGCAGTCACTTGGAAAATGATTCCAGCAGTTTTGGAGGAATTAAATTTAAATTAAATAAAAAAAGATTTCAAGGGCAACAAGGAGAATACTATTTGACAAATGTTATGAGATGACAAATATATACAGTAAAGTTATCTCAATAAGTAACCGCAATTATTATAAAATACAACCACATTATATACTTCTAATAAATTAATTATAACATTCACATTACCTTAAACTAATGAATTAAGGACATTACTAATATTGTCTTGTCATAGCCTAATATTGTCTTGTCATAGCCTTTAAATTAATAAATATAATAAATTAAAAATGTACTTAAAATTATTCTCTCTGCTGAAATATTTCTGATATTCTTCATAGTAAAGTTTATTGTTACTAAATTATAAACATTAATAATTATTAAATAATTAATCGAGTTCCCCTTGCAGGTCAACCAGACTCTCTTAAGTGCTGTACCCACAGTTTAGAGTAAAAAGCAACATCGTATTTTTATTGGACCGTCATTAAGCTTCGATATCGCATTTTTTCAACTCCGCCTTCAATGATCAATTTAAATAGACCGTATTTATGTGTGTGCCTAAAGTGTGACCAAACTATTTCGGTTTTTTCGTGTCACTGTTTCTGAAACTCGTCTTAAAATAACTACCGAATTGATATGATTTTTGACATATTTTGCTGACACTATATTTCCAAGACTTCAACTTTAATCATAGACGCAATAGTCGATGCAGTAATGAATTAAAACTGTAGCATTTCAGCATACGTATTCTAAATTATGAAGACATCTTTCAGGAACATAAAAATATTTTTATTTTTATCTTTATAAAAGTGGTCATTGCCTTTTTAAATCCTAATGAAGGTGGATTCAAATTATGTATTAATCAGCAAAATTTGCTTAACCCCGTCGCATCAATCCATTTATATCTTGTGACGTGAACGCATTAAAAATTATTTCAAAAAGATTATTATTTGTGTGTCAATACGCTTGGAGAGGTTTAGTTTAAAAAACCTTTACTTTACACAATCTAGACTAACAGGAACTATTCTGGTCCAACTCATGACTAATTTATTGATACATGCCTTAGAATGTAATCAATATATTCAATTGTTCCACATACTTGTAAATTTAATTTAATTATTTTGATTTAAACAATAATTAATTTTTGATAAATTAATTAATTAATTTAGTAAATCAGCTATATATCGATAATAAGTAAATTATCAGCCAGTAAAAACAGAAGTATCAATTCTCATATATATATATATATATATGTAGCTGTTCATATTCTAAATAATCACAGTAAACTGGATTATTATTTAAGTATATTGACAACATTAAAACTTGTAAAATAAAGGAAAGAAAATTTGATTCTAAGAAGAAGTTTCGGTTTTCTGATAAAGAAAATTAAGTAGACTCAATAAATAATTTTGAAATTTAAATATAGTCTCTGTATTTCAATTACGTTAACGTACAGAAACCCGCTATATATTGGTGACCCCGGCGTGATTTGAAAACGCAACACAAGCATGCCGGTGACACATTCGGATGAGGAATCTGGATCCAGGTCATCACAATAAATTTTTCTGTGACTTAAGCAGCACAACTTACACCCACTTTGATACGGCGCGGCCGCCAACGAGGCATGAGGCCAGCCTACAGATCAAAGTTACTTTCTCAAGCTGACGACTTCATCAAATCTCATCAACGCTCTCCACTCTCAATCACTTTGACACGGCGCGGCCGCCAACGAGGCACACGGCCAGCCTGCACGTCAAAGTTTTTTAAATCCTGCCAGCAAACGACTGATGAAGAAGTTAAAAAGTTTCTCAACGTAGACTCCGGCTTGCAAATCAAGTCCTTTACCTTACCAAACTCTGATGATATATATATGCAGCAGTTCTTGATACGACGTTCCATATTAACCGAGAACAAAACATTATAGTAATATAGTTGTAATTAAATTTATAAATAAATATATAACTGAATGGTGTATGTTATGGCCCTATGCTCCACTAGTCCTCCTCAATTAGCTAAAAAAGCCGTTTTGAAACATACAGGACGAGAATACTGTGTGACCCATTTCCAGACGCCTCCCTCGTGGAGGGTTCACTAGAAGGATTTTTGTCGTCCTAATTTAATATAAGAACCATTCAAGCGAGTCAAAATTATTTATCTTCCGATGTACACGATGATTATGCTGCATATACGATTGTTACATCTTCAAATATCTATAAGAATAAAAATTAATTATTAGAGTGTGAATTTGTTAAAATGCAATAAATAAACAAAATTTTATATTTAATAACTTTTAAGTTAAAAACTTTAATATTTGCAGTGAAACTCCTTGCAGTTTCCTTTTATTTGTATAATGTTTATGATTTCCTTATTTAAATAGTAAAAAATTAAACAGAATTCATAAAGTTACTCGTGCATAAGAAGTTAAGCGAAATACGAGTACTCCAAACTTAGCTCAGATGAAGTTTGGCTGCATAAGCAGAATATTTAAAACTTGTCAAATAAATTTGTTAAGTTGCGCTTGAGTGATTTACAAACGGAAGGAAAAAATCCATAAAGTATTGATGCTGGCACAAATGCAATGTGTGGATTGCGGAGTTGGGCCGGGTGGCTGCTGTCAACATAAACATGACTTACCGACGACAGTAACTTCAATGCTACAGAGTAGTTGCAGTTGTGGGCTCGGAAAGAAAGTTACGTGCTGCAACTTTATTTGCATGCTTAGAATGCATCAACACAAGACATTCCTTTGTCGTTAAAGGAATAACAGCACAACAATGAGCCATAAAGTGTCTGAATGAGTTGACAACTTGACTTTTAGCTATAAAGAAGCTGCGGAGCATAACATATTTCATCTGTTATCTGCTATGTGAAAAGCTTAACAAAAGCTTAGCACAATTTTGATGGGTATCAATAAAGATATTATTCTTTATGGGCGGATAAAAAAGTTATTTTCATATTCAAATTTTTTCCATAATCTATATTAACATTTATAGTATAATTAGAAACATTTTATCTGAAGGGTTTATGACTTTTTTTTATCGCTTCAGTCTTATAATGGTTGATATCGTTTCACAGCCGATTCCTTAGGATTCATTAATTATTATTGATTCAGAAATCATTAATATGTTATTTTCTATGGTCTCGCGTTCCACGCAATGGCAATTTGAGTCGGGGGAAGAGGAAAAAGTCACACGGGGCTATATCTGAAGAGTACGGTGGTTGGTTGATAATATTGGTGTAGTTTTTGGCCAAAAACTGCGGCTTTTTTTGAATGAAATTCAGTTTTTTGCCACCAGCCGAGAAGCGACGCGTTTCAAACCCAAAACATCACTTAAAATGTGGTCGGCCGATCCATATGAGATGCGCAACAACACTGCAATTTCTCTAATCGGTTCACAACAATTTTTCAACACGATCTGCTTCGCCGATTCAATGTTTTCTTCAGTAACAGAAGTTGTTACGCGGCCAGGGATCTCATCTTGGTCCAAGCTTGTGGGACCGTCTTATATATAAAAATCGTAACACAAAAATTTTTCGACTTTTTGTATAGACGCCAAACAAAAACCAATCGTACGATATGCGTTAAACTTTGACAGAATGTGTAAAATAGTGTTGCCAGCGTGAAAATAAAAAAATTTACCGATTGGATAGGCGCGGGAGTTCAATAATAGGCCTGTCGTTCTGTTTTGATCAGAAGATATGTGTACTTTTTTCACATATAAAACATATTTTTATGTAATGAAAAATAAATATCTAATAAATATTTAAGTAAGAAGTAATAACAAAGTAAGCCATGTAAAATTTAAAAAATTTATAAAACATATAACTACAAATTTTTTTCTGTGTAAATTTGATAATCAAAAAAAATTTGAAAATTATATTTCGTATTAAATTTTAAATTGTTTGTAAAATTATTAAACTATTTATTTTAATTTTTGTGTATTTATCTATTTTGTTAGTATGAGTATTATATAATTACAATAGGACTCTCTAAACTTCAATAACAATGTTTCTAAATAATGGGCGCAAGGTTTTCAAACATTTAACTTGGAATGAAGCTAACATAGAAGCAACATCCAGTTTGTACAGATCACAACGACCCTCTCTTGATATATCTGGTGTTTCTGGTGAACCTAATATAGAAGCAACATCCAGTTTGTACAGATCACAGCGACCTTCCTTTGATATATCTGGTGTTTCACATACATTAGAAGTGGCTGCACATCCATTGAACTCAACTTTCATTTCAAATGTAACTACCGAGCCAAGTACAACTGCAGCAGGGTCTACCACCCTTTACGATGTCGAAGGATTAGAGAATAGTAACCGTGTACCAGATATTGTAGCTCAAGATGATGCTGCTAAGGAAGCATTTTATATGAAACGTAAAAATCATGAAAAAGCTGAGTTTACTATTGCTAAACAGCAAACGGTGTTCCAACAACTATTCTCGGTCTTGCCATTTGATGTATGTCCAGATAATGTACCTGTAGACGAAAAGGATTAAAACGGAAAACAACAATGGGATTAATAGGTCTTATAAGTCAGTCGTCACTACGTAAGTTTAAATATAATAAAAAACTTTATTTAATTAAGTAATTAATTTTTTTTTATTAGGCCAAGCAAAGCCCTTGCATTCTAGAAATTTTGAAATATTAAAAATTGTAAACCGTGCTAATAAATTTTAATATTAAAGTAAAACATGTTTTTTACTTATGTTTTTTTAATAGCTAAAACAGCATAAAACAATTAGAATATACTATATACAATAATACAAGGTTAGATGATTGAAGTGTTACCTATTCAAGCAACTATATCTTTTTTGTGTGAAATTATTTTTTATTGATTCAAATTACAAAAATTTGTGGAAATAATCAAAATTTCAGAGTCCATTCACTTCAACTTCAAACGATTAAAATAATGAGTTGTATACTTCGCGAATGCGATCTTCCAGTATTTCAGCCCATTCCTGAATAATGGCTTTCTTCAGCACATCCATACTGGCATATTTTTTTTAGTCCTCATCTTGCTCTCCAAAATGGCCTAGCTGGAATTTATTCATTGGATTTGCATCTGGAGAATTCGAAAGCTGTTGTTGATTCACACGAGCTGTATGAGATGGTGCCGAGTCTTGTTAGAACGTTCCATGGTATACAAACGAAATGCAATTTCCAAAACATTTTCGCTATAATAAGTTGCATTGACTTTGACACCAGTGGGCACAACTGTTCATACAATTACTTGAGATGAAAAATTACTTCGGATAGCCGTTCGTAGTCTCAAATTTTCGGCATTGCATCAACTTAATAAAAACACGATCATTTTGAGAGTTTATAAAATGCTCAATGGAGAAATTTTTCTTATCAGAGAACAAAAATTTGGAAATTCGACACGTTTCAAGTCTAATTCTTTGTTGCTTTTTTGTAAGATCTTCTGCTTTTTGGAATTTGTGTTTACCTTGAACTCATTATGGAATATACTTCGGATGCTTTCCTAGGTATTTTCAGTTCTTTTGTCATTTGATCACCACTACGATTTGGATTTCGTTTATATCGAGCCTTTATTTTACGAACCATTTCAGGTTATGTTACGGTTTTTTTTTCGTCCACGCTGCCTACACTATTATAACAATTTATGGTATGATGGTACTTTATGTTTGAGCTCACGAACAACAGATACTTGTAGTTTTCCAGCCAAGTAGAATCACACCATTACGTTTGAATTCCATATCGATTAAATTTTGTTCCATAAAACTTACACGAAAATGCCAGTGACAGCTTATAAACAATATAAACAGCTGTCATTCGTATGAATTTCACGTAGTTGTCAATATTAGTTTAACGGATATACCTGTGTGTAGTTGGTAACACTTCAATTGGCGAACCCTGTATATATTACAAATAATATATACTTTATATGTACTTAGGTCGTGTGCGAGTTAGGCTAAGTTGCGTTCTAAATGAGGGAAATTCTAAGTTGTGCCGATAATGTAGTGATGTGTCGATACGTGTTGATAAATGTCTAAATGTGTGCAGTGCAAAAAATCCCAAGAAAAGTCCCATTTGGTTTAGCATCAACTTAGCCTAACTCGCACACGTCCTTAATATATACTATTATATTATTATTTTACTGGTCACAAAAAATAAACAAAAAGATCTAGTGACATTTTATTATGTTACATTTTCTTTTTTTTCAAATTATTTTAAATCAGAAAAATACTTGGTTTAATAATTTTGGGGAAAAATGTTTCACGTTTATTTGTTGCTGTAAGTTATTAAGAAACAAAACATTTTGCTTAATTTCATATATACATATATGTTATATATTTATATATAGATAAAATTTTAAAGATACGATAGATAGAATGTCCGACTCTACTTTAAATAAAACTGATGAAATTTTTGATGTCGAGATGACAACTTCTGAGAGCACAACTTCTAGTGAACCGTTTGATATTGAAGCAACCAATACCAAAATTTTGGTTATACAAGATAGTGCTATTCCGAAGAACATGAACTTAGCGGAAATAGAGACCAAAAATCGTCACAATGAGCTGACAGACGTCCAAACTTTTGGTGAATCATATTCATTTTCTCTAACTAACGTTCCAGAGAATGGTAAGTCAATGCCTTCTGTTATCGAAAATGACCGAGAGCTTAGTTTCTTTATGAAGAGAAAAATGTTTGATAAGGATGAATACACACTTGCAAAAGTTCTGCTTCAATATTCGCTTCGTGAAATAGATAACGAGTCTGATACGGATGCTATGGAGTATATAGGAAAGTAATAAGTAATAATGTTCGTCTTTTTTTTTTTAAAAAAATTAATAGTTTTAAAATTTTTATATGTATGCACTTTCTACGTTTTTAATTTTCAATTGCTAATTTGAATAAAAAAAATTTAATAAATTTTAAGCCGTTTTAATTGAAATCGAAACTTTATTTAGCAGGATTTAAAATGTAAGCTTTCAATTTTTGTCAAATTAACGATAATCTCTTCACATATCACATATATCGAATATGTTGACAACAATACAAAAATCTGAAAATTTGATCAAAACATTGATGAAGGGTGCTTTCATAAATATTTCAAATATTTCATTTTAAGTGCAGTTAAAACTAATCTGTACGCCAAACTATTGAGTTACTACCAAAAACTAAATACACAAAAGCCAAAAACAAAATGTTTTATTAAATTTATTAGCAAAAATTTTGCTAGACAAATGTGTACGCTCAATACTGGTAACATATTGTAACTCCCCCGGTATGCGAAACGAGTACTTATAGGATTTACAAATTCATTTGCTAAAGTGCATAGGAGTGCAGTTTTGCATTTAGCGTGAACATCAAACAATATGTGGACGCGGCATTATTAAGTTTTTGAGTCAATATTTGTACAGAAACGTATAATGTCCACTGAATTGGATGCGAATGTTTGTATATATTTATGTGTGTGTGAGTGTGAGTGTGTTCGAAAAGCCGTTTTAAAATATACAATTTAGTTGAGTTTTGAATTGGTCTCCAATCATTCTAACCATCTGTCCAGCTTTCTGTCTTTCTGTTGACTCTCTATTTTGCTGTATTTATTTGTTATTTTAGGTGTTCATAGTATCCTACGGTCAATGCCTCGTACTATTTGATTGGGTTTTAGTCGAAGCGAATATAGTTACAAACGGACTTACGGGCGGACGACGGACAGTGAGTCGTACACTTATTGGAAAATACAATATTTGTTCGACAGTTGATATGTTTCATAGTTTGTTGTTTAATATTGACATAATAATATTTTGAGTGGAAAATGGTTATGAATTTCAAAGGATTTGTGCAAATACATTTTAAGTGAGCGTAAATAGATATTTTTCGTGTATATTAAATTATATTACGCAGCCTTAATGTAGGCTTAGCGCGGGATCCGTGCAATAAACAGAGTTTTAGAAGTTCATATTAACATAAATAAATTTTGTGTTTGTTTTGTTATGCAAAAAAAAAAGAAGAAATGAGCAACAATTTTAATCTTTTAAACGAAAATTGATTTAAAATTAATTATTTACTTACAGTGAACAAAATTTATCACTTGAAAATCTTATTCGAAAGTTAAATGACTTGTACAATGAGCCAATAGGCCTAAGTGGATCCACTAGGGATCGCCGGTATAACCTAATTTAACCTTAATGAGCGATGATTTATTAATTACTGAGAATATATTTGACTGTTGTTATCAATATTTAAAAATCTGTTTTGCTTTTTAAAGGATAAAAATTATGGAAATAAAAGCTTGCAAAGGGTCTTCTATTACAATCAAAAATTTATATGCTTAATAGATAAAAAATATTCAAATAACGAATTATTCAATATATACTAAAACAAGTCCATGTATGTCATCATAAAGTTATAAAAAACTACTAATAACTTCAATGAAAGAGTCCCAGGAGCAGCTGGGTTAAAATCGAAGACCACGTACTACACTTATTATTAACTTTTAAGCGGGTAATAAAAACAACAACTTAGAAATGTTGGATATACATGTATTCTTCAACAATTTTTTCGGGTGTAAAATTTATATTTTATTGAAATTTATATCCTTGGATCACTTCTACAAATAGAGTCAATCAATATGAAAAATATACTTTTATTGTTTGACTATAATAAGAGGGTTTCTCAACAGGGTAAGAATAAGTCTTATAAAACAACATATATTCAATACTAAAATATTCTTAATAACTAAAGATATAAAATATAAGTTGATACATTTTTAAATATAATTGATAAACATGAAAAAATGGGGACTTAAAACTATTAGCACTCTAAATTTGATATAAAGTACTATTGCTGAAAACTATTGTATTTTTGGGATTACAAAAAATGAAGCACTGCATTCAATGAAGCACTGAGATTATGCTCGGACTTCACTTAACGCTAAAACCTTTAGAAACTGCTCTTCAAAATTTTACTGATTATAGAGTTGAATATGTGTTTGACCAAAATGATTTAAGTCATTATAGTTACGATCAGTGATATTGAGAGAGCTTGCTGCCCAGTGTACAATTAAGCAATAACGATTCGATGTAGTCACCGAATATTGATTTATCGTGTGTTGGACATTATACATTGAGACCTTTCTACGAATCGTAGCTGCAAAGATTTCAAACGAATGCATTAAAATCACGGTGATAAAAAATATCATTCAAATATCAAAACTTTAGCAATAATAATAATTACTAATTATTAATTAGTAATTATTATTATTAATTAATAATAATTTTATTTATATGAAATTTTTTATGGTTGTTGTTAGTGTATTTCTCAGGTTGTCGACTGTTATCTTATACAAGATCGGTGCCAGAATCTCTTCCTAGCCTCGAAAGGGATAAGATATTTTATTACATTAGCATTTAATAAATAACTGGGATGTGCGTTTCTAAAAGTATTCGATATTAGATATTCTAGCTTTCATTTAAAAGGATGGGATCTTCTGTTTAGCTAGAGCTCTCGTTATAGCACTACTCGCAATCACGGTTGCCACTTGAAAATTTTTTCCTGTACCAAAATTGGTTTAAAAAGGTACCATTTCTGTCTAAAATTCCAAAATTTTTCCAAAATTAGAAAGTCCAAAAATAAGAAAGTCCAAAATTTTTTTGGACCTTCTTATTTTTTCGTTCTGTGTTTTTCATAGTGTTATAAATGAACAAAATATAAAAAA